TTCTGTCCTTCGGCCTCAACCGACGCCTTTCAGCCACGGTTCAGCTGGCGGAAGTGAATATACCCACCAATCACAGGACCTGTGAGAACCCATTTGACCCAATTTTCACCAGGTCCTGGGGCTCACTTCAGTCCGGTGGCTAGTCAACACTGTCTCACTCGGCTACTGCCTGGAATTCTCGAGTGTCCCTTTGGCAGACACAAACGCATGCCAAACTCGGGTCTTCACAAGAATTGTAAACAAGACACTGGCCAGCGCCTTCCATTGTCAAGGTCTATGGATGTTCATAAACCTTGACGACGGATTCATCATTGGCGCATAGCAGGCTTCAACGACTCATGCAGTACGTCAGACCCGCTCAATTTCCAAGGGCCTGGGTTTCGCATCAAGGATTCTAAATCCCAGCCAATCTCATCCCAATGGCCCAGTTATTCGGTGCTGTCCCCGATCTACTCTTACAACAGGACCCGGCTTACCCGACATGGGGGAGAATCGCCAATGTTTGTCAATGCGATTCTGCCATGGCCTACTGGCGAACCTCATGGACTTGGTTTCGCGATGCCGCCTGTATAGGGGCCTGCTTCAATTTTCTGGCCCTCTTTTGTCCACGGTTCCACCATGTAACCCAAAGGGTACCGTGTTCACAGGCTGCGTCCCTGGTGGTGGATCCAACTGAACAATATCAGCCAGGGTTTTTCCCGCCCTTTAGGCCCACCATAACGATCACAACAGATTCGTCTCTGTTGGGTTGGGGCACGTTGATAGAATCTCACCAAACGGTGAGTCTCTGGACTTACCATCAGTCACCTGCCACAACAATTTCTCAAAATGATAGTGGTCCTTATCACCCTTCACCGCTTTTAGAGCATAGTGCAGGGTCAGTTTGTTGTCACCCATTGCGACAACACAACTGTGGTGTCCTACATATAGGTGATACTAATATACTCCTGTGCCTGTGCCTACTCACATGGCAACTACGGCATTGGCGTGGCCAGCATGGCATCTATCTCAAAAGGTCCATCTGGCGGACAGAGACCACACCACAACCGATGCCCTCTCCAGGGGCTGGATTCGCCCCATGGAGTGAGCCATCCGAACTTTGGTCGTGCGGACGATCTTAGCACTACTTGACTATCCGCAATATCTACCTGTTTGCAGTTGTACTCAACCGCCAGCTCACGGGGTACTGTTTCAGATCCCAAGAGCTAAAGGCATGGCGTGCTATACATACGCCCCTTTGCGTGGACCAAATTGTTTGTTTACGCTTTTTTCCTTGATTTCCCTACTCACCTGAGAACTGGGGAAGATCAAGCAGGATCCCTGCAGGGTCCTCCTGATTGCCTCATTTGGCTCCGACAACCGTGGCTTCCACGACTTGTCTGCCATTCCACAGCCTTCTCATGCGACTGCTGCCATCACAGTCCGTAGCAGGCATAAGTCAACCCGGACTGTTCGTGACAGCTGATTACGACATTTTTATAAATGGTCCGTATGACCTACGGTGGATCCCTTCGCCACAACTCTAACCAAAGTTGGCAATATTGGTCTCCACCCCACCAATCGGGGTTTGGGGTTCTCATTCTCTAGAACTATCGCTCTGAAATTGTGACTGTTCATTCAGGTTTTTGGGATGGTTCTTCGATTTCCGACTGCACCATCCTCACGCACCTCTTCCGAGTCATGTTTGTTTCATGACCCTCCCAACAGACACTCCTACCATCGTGTGATTGTGGGCCGGTCTTACAAGCTCTCACCTGGTTCCTGCTCGAACCACTAGACCAAGCTTCTGTTCTTAACGCTTCCTTGAAAACAGTTTCCTCCTGACAGCAGCCTCAGTGCAGCGCATGAGTGAACTCCATGACCATAGATTAAGAACATTTGCATTGGGAGCTCAGTGGGCTCCGCTTGACCTCCCATCGCCCTTTCTTCACGAAGTACCAGTCAGCGATGTTGTCCCGCCTGACATCTTCGTTCCTGTCCCAGAGAACAAAATCTCGTGTCCTATCTGGACCCTTTGGTGGAACCTCCATCGGACTGCACTGATCCGCGGTGACCACTAGGCTCTGTTCATATCCACGTTTCACCACATCGGCCAGCATCCTGCGATACTATCGCTCGCTGGGTCATGATGGCCATACGACTCCCATCGTTTGAGTGACCGATCCTGAACAGAGAACGGGCCCACGTAGTTTGCAGCGTGGCGACCTCTTGGGCTCACTTTTTCAAAGGAGTGCTCCAAGCAGCATGTTGGAAATCCTCCAACACATTCATCTCCTTTTATTTCAGGGACGTGCTGCAAGCTGACAGCAGAACTGTTGTGCAGCCCTCCCTACTGCCCCAGTGGCGCAACCGGATCCGGTTCCTCCTCCGGTGGCAGCCCGCAGTACCGACCAGTGACGGCTTACTCCATTATGGCAGCAGCCGATTCCTCTGGTTTACTTTAGTGGGTTTAATCTTGTTGGCTTTGGGCTCACGCTCCCTTGCAGCCCGCCTTACACATCGTGTACACTCATGTCATACGCGAACCCACCTACCTAAAGTGGCGCTACTCTGCATATGTAGTAATACTCTACGGGTAAGTAGAGTGCAGTAGAATCCCCCCCCCCCCCCACAGAAGTGTGGGCCGATACTACTAGCGAATACTTACCCGTAGAGTGCCCACCCGCCTCCCCACTCTCACCTACACGTTCATTCACGCACCTTACGCTCTAGAAAAGTATGGTGGGCGGGCCGCAAGGTACTGTGGATAATAAATCTTAGCGTATGGCTGGGACCCTCTAGGGAATAATGCATATATGTAGTAATACTCTACGGGTAAGTATTTGCTAGTAGAATTGGCCCACACTTCTGTTGGGGGGTGGGGGATTATTGTAGTTTTGAAGATCTCATGAATTTTACACTCTTCAGCCATGTCCACTTTATCCTGGAATTTCTCTTTTTAAAGAATTATGAGGTTTTCAAAGCTTTCGTCGGCACGGTTCGCTGCTTAGTGCTTATAGACAAAAGTCGGTTTGCATAAAATTGAATAATAATAATAATTATCCTGGATGCTATAATAGGGCGACTTTTCCATAGACTTGTGCACAGACCTAAAATGTCACCTAACCCAAGTTTACCTTATCTTTTTTCCCCGAAATTCGGTACAGTTATGTTTTTGACAACGAGGAATTGATCTAGATGGTTTGTGACAATAAAATTCCTTGTCTTAAGGGTTGTTTTCACCAAAAGGCGACAGTTATGTGTCGCCCCAATAAGGTGTGTCGCCCTAATATGGATGCGATTAGCAAAATCTGTCGCCCTGTTATAGCATTCAGTAGAATAACTAGGCGGTTACCCGGCTTTGGCATTTGTAGGACGCATAGAGTTGCTGGATGTAGCGATTGATTACCATGAGAAGTTTTCCCCCTACTGCGATCATTTTGCACTCAAAACCGCCCCGAAATCGGTGCTCTTTTTGTCATACAGACCGATATGACCAGCGACCTCTATAGTCATATTGGCGTGTAGCTTGGGAGTTCCCCTTTCAGATGCAATCACAGTGTGTGTACGTGTATGCATTCGTAGGTGCGTGAATGTGTACACGTACACACACTGTACGTACGTACGTAAGAGAGAGGACCCGGGGTCGCAATCGCTTAATAACAAACGTTGAAAAAATCTAAGTTGGACCAAACCTCACAACAACAAACACCCAACCAAACATCCGACAAACATCCAAACAGAAGACTTGATAGATGTGGTGCTTATATAGTGCCCTATACCTAAGGTGTCAAAGTGCTTTACAATTATCCCTGTTCATCAGGAATGAGACCATTATTTTTTGCAGCTTCTTTGAGGTCAGTCCAATTTAGTCTCTACCTTCACAGGTACCCATTTATACTCAATTCAATTATTTATTATCCGTTTTCAAAAATAAAATGGAAAATTTACCTGTCTGCTGTAAATAATACACATTAAGAATACATCGAACAATAAAAATTAGTTAAACATCATATCAAATATTAAAAAGTGATGAAAAAATAAGATAAATACAAAAAAAATTAGATTAGGTGGAGAAAGGCAATTGTAGTAAAGTGCCTTGCCCAAGAACACAAGCACCATGTTCCCCGTCAGGATTCGAATCCCATGTACCTTGGCACATGAGTCGAACACAGTAACCATTGGACCACAGTGCCCCACAATGAAACCAGTGCCTTAAAAACAAAAACTCATTGACACTTGCATTCTGTGTGAAAACCTGGTTGCCCTTTTGTCAGAGAGGCCTAGTGAAGCCTATGGTTTCATAAAGCTTCCTGATTATGTTATTGTTGCGTTTTCTTTTTAAGTGATGCATTTTTATTGTAATTGATGCATTTTCATTTTCATTTGTGTTCATTGAGTGTCAGTGTATTTTCTTTTGGTACCCCACATTGAAATTTGACATTTTGCTCAAACACTGTGTCTAATGTTTATAAAATTGGTATCAAAGCAATTGCAAAACACAAGTCTAAAAGTTTATAATGGCTCATCGTGAAAAAAAAGTTGCTTGGCGATGATATTAATGATTTGAACCCCTTCCCTTTCCTATTTGATAAATGATATCATGTAGTTCATTAATTAAAGTTGGCAGTATTTTTTTTCAGAATTTGACCTTAATAGGTTATCATGCCTTCAAAAGAAAATGTGCTTTTCTTCCCACATATCCCTTAACAACCACTTGCCCCTCCCTGCACCCCCTCCCCCCACCCCTGCACCCTGTTAGGTTGAACAATTGAACAGAAGATGTGTCATGAATTTTATTTGAAATAATTTGTTTAGATATTTCAATCTTAAAACACCTGTAATATGCGATTCATACAGTGAACCACTCTGTAGAAAATGCTGTAGACAATTTATATTAACCAAAATTGCTCAAATTCAGGACATGTTCAAAGGGTGATTAGAACATCATAATGCCTAATTGCTTAATGATACCAGAATCTGATTCGCAAATATGAAAATTCAGCTCTGTTTTACTACAGGTGATGTCAATTTTGCACGCGACCTGTCTGACCTACGGCATCGTAACAACCTACGGGTCATTTTAGTTCATCGAGATGAAGCATCAGAAGCTTTGAAGGCATGTGCTAACGAGGTGGTCAGATACCAAGACCTAGTTCATGACTTGCCTTACAGATCACCTACTAAGGTACATGTACCTATATCATTTTACTTTCCCTGGTGTTGTGACCACTTTTGAAAATCAAGCTGCTCTAAACCTTGATTTGGACATTTTAGAGGGAGATCCACCTGTCCACAAGTATTAAGAAAATACCCATATAGGAAGGCAATAACTGGGAAGTAGATGGTTGTTTATTCACAAATGCTTGATTGTTGGGGCTTGTAAATGTAGTATACCTTTTAATTTATGCAATGCTGAATTTTGAAATTCCTACTTAGAAAAAATACAAGTTCTTTGACCAGAATAATGTGATGTATTGATCAAGGTCCAGTGACTAAAGCCATGTTCCCATTAGACTTTTTTCCCACGGCCATGCGAAAACTTACCACGACATTCCTTTGCGTACGTGTAAGTGTGCCGTGCGTTCCAACTTGGACTTTCATAAACACCGATGGAACGTTTAATCGCCGTGAGTGACTGGATGGGGTGGGTGGGATAGGGGAGGGTGGGGGAGGGGCGAGGGAGATATGGATTGGAGTAGGGTTGGGGTGGGGTGGGGATGGGTAGATGGGGGGATGTGTAGATGGTGGGATGGGTGTGGGTAGGGGGTGGGGGCGGGGTGGGGATGGGGTGAGTTTTTTTTTAATCTTTATTTCTGATGGCTGTTGTTTGAAAATACCAATTTGAACATAATACAGCCGCAGCAGGGGAATGGTCATCTTCGTTCAATGTTTAGCAATTCATGTAACTGTATTTTGTATGTGTCCTAAGATGAGTCGTAGGTTCAGACAACTTTTGTGAAATCGACCCCAGGTTGTAACATCCCTCTATTTTGTATAAGTTTGACTTAGATGTGACATTTGAAATTTTTGCTTTGTAACAGCAATCTGGTGTTGAAAGCTGTACACTCATAATACATAACCTTCCATGCCGTAAGGATGCCAGTCAACTAAGAAATCGTCTTAAGCAACTGTCTGAAAACTGTGGTGGCAAAGTCATACATGTATCTTACAAGAATGCTGTCATCCAGTTCCCAAATATGGAGAAAGCAAGCAGGTAAATGAATTAAGCACAACGGGTGTGTTTTTACAAGAGGGTACGTGGGGAACTTGCACAAAGGAAACAGTGATAACCCACTTGTCTTTGTCTGACGTACATGTATCCCACAAGTAAGGTTCTAAGAAGAGGGATAAAAGGTGATCAATGCAAGTAGTCTATAAACTCCATCTGCAAAGTTGCATGTATGCGTGTGTGTACCAACCTTACCATCTTTATGTGGACCTGACAACAAAACAGGTCCACGTAACGCAGGTTGTGTGAACGTTATGTGGACCAAGCCAGGTCCACATAAGGTTTCACCCTCTCTGGAAACAGGTTTAGAGACATTTTTGGGTAAGGGTCATCTGTTGCAAAATGAAGAGGAACACTCAAGGAAATCAGGATAAAACATTTGGGTTGAGAGAGTTTTCACAGTGTGAGTAAAATATGTTCTTTCTCCAGTTTTCCTTAACTTAGTGAAAACAACTTTTTCCACATAGGGTATGTAATGTAGGCCTGGGTGTATGTTCATGGGTTGATCACACACAAAGGCAAAGCCTTGTTCTTCATATTGGGGCTGATGTTCTACATTCATGTAAAAAATAGAAATAAAACAATTAAAATAATTAATCATGCTTATTTTATTTTCCTTGAGCTTGACATTTGAGAAAAAAAGAAGTATTTTGGGGTTGTGATACTTATACAGGTATTTACTGTACCCATATACAGGGCCAAAATCCGACTTGATGGAGAAAATGTATTCGGCAATAAGATCTCAGTAGCTTACCCGAAGAACAAAAATACCAACTCACCAGTGAGGCATTCAAACAAGGTCTCACCACAGTTGATTCAGGACAACAATGAAGATATGATGGTGTCTCAGTCAGACAGCAAAGAGGAAGAAGAAGATGAGCGGTATGATTCCGAGGAAGAGGTGATTGAAGAACAAGATCAGGAGGAAGGTATTCAGTGTTTTTGTCTTTGGCTCAAAAATGCCTTGTCTTTGTGTTAGAATGCTATGCATACACACATAGACTGCATAATTGAGTATGAAATGAAATTACTTTACATACTTCAAGACCAATACATTCATCATTTAAAAACCTGTTGTGTATTGCGTGACCTATGTTGCATTATCTGTTAAAATTCTTTACACTCCCTATATAATGTGATGCAACCATACACAGACCTAACTCCCTAGTGTTTTTTACTAGATACTGGACCAATTCCATCAAAATCCATCACTCGCTCTGCTTCACATAATGCATTAGGACCGACTCCATCAAACTCCCCCAAAAGCATCTAAGTGTGCAAAGTGCATTGATACCAATTCCATCAGAATCAACCGGTGAGTTGCTGGGGATTTTGATGGAGTTGGTACAGATGGCTTACAGGTTTGGTTAACAGCATTACTTCAGTGCCAATGGGACCTCAATCCATCAAAGTCCACCTAATAAATTGATGCATGTTTTTAAGGCTTAGTCAAATTGTAAACAAAGGAAATAAACAAGGCCACCAGTCAAGATTATAAATGGACCCCCAATAAACCTTACAAAGGGTCTGTGTACAGTGTTCACATATGCATCTCATTATGTACATAAACCAACATGAGGCTGTCACAAACCCGGGTCCCCCCTACCCTCTCACACGCAATGTGTCCCCGGTCTCATCACTTAGTACGCTCAGACACAATAATAGTTGAAAGTAAAATGTACACTAGCCAATTATTTATTTTACACTATCTTCACAAATACACAAAAATCAATAAAGGGGAAATATTGCTTAACCAATCCAATTTCTAGGCTCTAATTATTGGCCATTAATAAATACCTTGGAGAGTTGATGGTTTCTGATTGGTCAAGACTCGATCACGTGGCTGGTCATTAACGGTGATAATGGACCGGCTTCAAAGAACAAGCGAATAAATAGCCCCTGAACCAGCATTGATCCAGCCCCGTTCAGCCCCATGCAAGCCAATGATTGGTCAAAATATAGTAACAGTCCTGCGGTAGCTTTTAACAATTGAGCACTGCACATGCGCTCAACCCCTATCGTGTGAGACTGACGTGCGCGTACGCAACACAGTTGCTAGGGATGCGTGCGTGCGCGCGCATAAGGAAGTTTTGAAACGACATCGTACAGCAGTGCAGTACATGTATATACTGAGGATGTTTACGACGAAAGCGTAGATCTACGATTTATTTTCTTTGAAACACTTCACCCACCGACATATTTACCTTTCCTAAACCAAGCATCTTTGTAATTCCGGACACAAGGAATGTGTAAACGAGATTTCAGCTTCCTCCATCAGGTAAAGATATGAAAACATTGTTGTAATTTGTTTCGCTACGGCAGCAGTTTCTGTTGAGTTTACGTTGTTATAGCTGTTAAGCTAAAATATGGCCCATGAACATGAACACAAAAAAGTCTGGAAATATCGCCGGAAAAAAAGTCACAAAATTGGAGCATTTTAACTGTTTATTTCGTTATAAAGGTATTTATTAATGGGAATAACAGTGTGAGGATCGACTTTGTCTCGGTCCATTAACAGCGGTCACCCCCACACCCAGTCATTATCACGCAGTGAAGACCGGCTCCTCACACTGTTATTCCCTTAATACAATTCAACAATTGCAATATTTTGATCAGACAAGAAAAACCTTATTCCAATATTTAACAATCCCTTTTCAATATGAGACTGCAACCTAAAGGTTACCTGAGGTTCAATTCTAGAACAGTTCACTTGTGTGGGAGCCTCCGTCCAGCGGTCCACGAACCTGTCCTTGGACTGACGATAGGGTGGTGGATGACACAACTTTATCGGCAACTAGTAGGGCCAAACGTCCACATCCTCCGTCTACGGCCGGCGGGATAGGCCTCACGGTTAGATGTGAATCAAAGTGGTCCCCAGCCAATGGGCGGATCCGGGTGTAATTGCGGGGCGTGGATTTAGCTCCACAATAAGGAGCCCTGAAAAATTAAATACAATAATAAACACCTATCCTAGCATTTTCAGGCTAAACGTTAAGTAAATCAACTGGACCATACAAATGACGTCTGGCCGCCCAAATGGGAGGTGTCCCGAAAAGCAGATTTGCCACGCTAACACATTCAAATATGCACGAGCTACAATACAACAACTTGATACACTCACTGGTGTTAGAAATGAAATAATTACATTAAATTTATGAAACGAATATTTAAACAAAACTTACAGTATATACTGGCTCCTAAGGCCTGGAACACCATCAAGGGGTGTAAATTCGCTGGCTCTAACGCAGCTCTTGAGAAGCAGGCGAAAATCGGCTGAAATTTAGGCTATCGCCAGAAACAGGATTCTTGAAAATCCAAAATAAGATTTAGCACTATGTCGCTATATCTATGGAGCTATCGCTCTGTACATGCTACCGCACCTCCAGCCTATATTTGTTTGCAAATGCATGCTGGTGTGTGCGTTCAGCATTGCGCGTAGCGCACGTATTGTTCCAAAGAGCCAGCGCTACAGAGTTGGGTTCAAACATTTTTGTGAAGGGGTGGTTTGGAAGAGAGGAATACATTTTCCACCAATTTTATGTTGAAATAAGATTTAAAATATATCAAATGACAAGGATCTATATGTCAGTTATATGAAACAAATATTGAGTGGCTTTAAATTGTGAAATGGGAGGGATATTATCTCTCGGTAAAATCTGGACTCTTTTGCCACGGCGCAATATGAACTCGTCGCGACAAGATAGTTACTGTGGCAAGATAATAACTCACTGCGGCAGGATAGTACAAGTAAGTCTCGGTATTCAGGGGCTGTATTCACAAAACTCAAATTTAAGAGAAAACTTAAGTCACACTCAAATTTAGCACCCTGCTAACTTAAGTGAGGTGCTTAATTTGATATTCACGAAAGATCTAAGCACCCCACTTACCTTAGAGCTCAACTTAACTTAAGTGTTCTAAGCAATCACTCTTGCTCATGCACAAAATATGTACGTCATACATGTTCCTACGCAGCGGCAGTTCAATCAATAATGTGCGTATTTCCTCAACATAATCAGGCATGGGCGTATTCTGCCACGCAGTTTCCAAGCCCAAGTTAATACATGGAAAATGACTGCGTCACGCGTGCAACCATCTAGTCCGTCATGCACATCATATGCACCCAGTGCATGTACTTATTTCCCATAGTTTAGTTGTTTTAATACAATTGAAATTTTTGTTTTATTTACTATTGAGTGTGAAACAAATTGTGATAGTGATTTATTCGCATTCTCTCATACGCGCTGGAAGGTAAGACAGTTATTTTGAATTTTATAGTCGGCAGTCACATGTAGGACTGTGCATGCCATTGCATTGGTGTCGTCAATCGCACCCGCGCCGCCCGCATAAAGATCAACAAATCGATCGGAAATAACTGTTAGAATGTCGACGATCTACAATCCTAGGTTGTCACTCTTTAATTTCAACTTGGTTTCCTTTTACAATAATTCGCTATTGACGATATTTCCCTCGACCCCTAGAAAGTCCCATTTTGTGCCTACAAATTACAAACCAACGGAAAGAAATAAAGCTGCCATGACACTCTAGTGCCCCACTTAACTTGACTTAAGACAGGTCCGACCACACTTAGATTTAAGCCATGAAGATAAGGAGGCGCTTAGTGAAAATGTTCCGTGAAGACTGCTTAAATTGTAAGACTAGTCTAAGTCGCATATTTATGTGGGGTGCTTACGTTTTGAGAATGCGGCCCCTGTCCTCTTTCATAAAGCCATACATACACACACACATTCTTGTTCCATAACTGTGGGGACTACACACGTGTTGTCCCATGTATTATGGGGACCGAAGACGCTCTGGGGACAGTAGAAAGTCCCCATAACTCAGTCCTAATTTCCCTAACAATAATCAACTTCCCTATAACACGGTGAAGGCCCGCACACAGGTGTGTTTATGATCTAAATCGAGCATTTTCTATTATTCCTCATCAACTATCTTTTGTATATACTCATAACTTTTTTTGCAACAGCTCTCATTGGTTTTGTACACATTTTCTGATCGAGGTCCTCTTGATTTGACTCCTGTCCTCAATTACTTGATGATGCTTCACATGTGTGTCTTAGATTTACATAATAAACATGCACATACATGTACATACACATACTCCCTTTCTTTTGTACAGTATAGCGGTGATAGCAGTGATGTGTTAAACATATGACCATCTATGCTGTGTTCATAGAAATGGCTGCAACCATGGATAGCAATCTAGTGTAAAATGGTCAAATTGACTTTGTCAACTTTTTATAACCAGTTACGGGCCTGCTTTCTAGAAAAATAACCTTTGCATTTGGATTGGACCATTATTGGCAGCAAGGCTGTTAACTAGTTTTGAAACCAAACACTATTCCCTTATGACTGGCCCGTGCATGTACATGTAGGCTTTCACTGTACTCGTTGCATCTGATGTAAAAGGCTTATGATGAGTACTGTTGTTCCCTGTACTGCTCTTTAAATGCTCTCCCATTTAAGACATTCATTGTTTAATATGTGAACTGTATTGTAGCTTCAGTAAACAAATACAGATTGCGAAGGTTACTTGTCATTCATACATGTATGTACATTTTTTGTCGGATTACTACAATTGAATTAATTTCACAATTGAAATAATGTCAAGTATTTCCTTATTGAGGTTTTTGTCCTTTAAAAGTTATCTTATTTGAGTGTCTTTAATTGTTCTTGTTTGTCAGAGAGATCTTCAAGATCGGACAGTGAATACAGAGCCTGCACTGACTCTAAAAACAGGTATAGAAGTGGGTATCCAGCCAGTCCCAACCAACCTCATTACTGCTCTGCAGACTCCCAGAAAGCAAAAGCTGTCAAAGAACTTCCGGCTATGAACACCTCAGCTAACAGAATAGCCGCAGCATTTAGACCTATACAGCATAATATGAAATATAGCACTGAATTTTGCAACTCACCTTTCGACACCACACATAGCAAGCCAGTGATTGAGATCTGGCCACAGAGGGATTGCACTGATGCTGAGGCAAAGGCATTACCTATTAAGACAGACTTGATACCTGTATCTGCTTCCATGGTCTCATTGATGAATTTCCCATCATCAGTCTCACTCGGTGAACACTCCAACCACCCGTCAAATACAGGACAACTAGACTGCAATATTAAAGCAGTGCCAGGATTATTGCCTTTTAAACCAGCTCCAACAGTACAGCGCATACCAACTCCTCCACAATTTCAACAAGGACATGCCATGTGGAACAGGGCAAGTTGTGAGCAAAGGTCCAACTCACCAACTCTAAGAGGCATGTACCGACCACCATCACCGATGCTAGCTAACCCAATGGGAGACTGGCAATACATGTCTGTTCAGGATCCAGACAATGGTGTCAGGAAAGGGGCCGAGTTGTTGGTGACTAATTTGGATAATAAGATGTCAAGGCAGGACCTGAAGAAATCCCTCTTAGCAAAACTGAATGAACATTGCAAGGTGAGACAGAAATGTTTATTAGAGAGGTTTAGCTGCATGCCCTACGCGAATGCGAAGGCAATTTATACGTTGACGTGTATGCAAACTTTTCGCATTCACGCTCACGTTTTGTTCTCACGCAACGTGTTGCTAAATGAGCTCTGGACAGTTTAGAATGCATGACTTAGTTTAAATATCCCATTGTTACTTCTTTAAGGCTCAAGAAAACTTCAAAAAAATAATACCATAGTATGACAAAACAAGTTTTATTTCTCTGCTTTCAATCCTATTGTGATTAGGTGCTTCATTTGATCTTTGGTAGCCCAGTACCAGGACGTTACCAGGCTGTTGTAAGAGTACCTAGCATTCCTGATGCCATAAGAGCCATGGCTAACATCAACAGATGTCAAATTGGCACCAGATTACTTCATGTGTCTCTCTTGATGCCTACAGATTCTAATGCTGATAAGCTCAGGTAAACATCGTTTTCTTATTTCACCGCTTGCTTTTCACACAAGGATATATTTGTCACACTTGAAAGTGCCAACTCTCAGAGCTGGACCTAACCCACATAGTGGACTCTCCAGCCCCAGTTGTAGAGGCAATTTTTTCCCACTTGATCATCCCAATATAGGTCTCTTTGCAACAGAACTTTGTTTCTTCCCTGATCTTCCTACACTCCTGGGTGATCAAGAAGGTCAAGAAAGAGTCATGCTGATTTTTACTAGTTGGTATCCATTGTTCCTTGGGCTTGTCTGCATTTCCTTTAATGTCCTTCTCTTCCTACCACCCCTGCCAGACCTCCTTGCTCTGTCTGCTTCATCCTGATCCAGGGAGCCTCTTGTATTTGATGGGACCTGTTTGTCTGTAGGACCAAGGGCCAAAACATCTGTGAATTGCCTCAACATGTCTTCCAAATTTTCCGGATTTCTTTTTCCAGACTTACACCAATTACATGTGGTTATAATAAGATTGTGTTGGACTAAAAAGCCACTGACTACATTATGTAGTCTCAAAACCAGCATGTATGCAGGATTTTGATGGGGGTGGAGATGCATGTAGGGGGTGCAAGCCCACAGTCTAAACCAGCTACTCTAAATGTGTTCCAAACATGGACATCGTCATGACAAGGTGCCTATTTCAGAGGCCTACAGAACCACAGGTCTGATTTGGTTAATTTGGTATGTACCTGGACCAGGATTTGTTTTACATGTAGATGGGCCTCATAGTGAAACCTTTAAAACCTATCAATCATATCAAACCAATGTTTCAACTTGGGAGACTATTTTTTAAAGTAACCTATGGACAGTTTCAAATGTTACTGAGTGACAAACAATCCATTTTCATGTTTCCAAAAAATATTTTGTAAACACTTAAAAATTTATTAAAAGAAAATTGGTACATTATGAAAACTACTGCTACTTACTTTCCATGACACTAAAATTTCCAACCTTGATTCATCATATTTATGAAATATGAAATTTCATATTATGGACATGAGTTTTGGTCACATATGCAAATCACACAAACTCTGTGAATTTCAATTGTCCCACATTTTTAACATACTCATTCCTTTCTGTATTCCCTTAGCTTTGATATGCTACCGTTCACTTGAAGATTGGTCAAAAAAAATATGCAAATGATGAGAAAAATGTAAATCAATAAAGCATTACAGAGTGACCGTTACAGAGTGACCGTTACAGAGTGACAACAGAATAGCTCAATAGGAAATGGCAATATATCAACCACAAACTGTTAATTATGGTTTAAACATGCATACAAGTCAACAGCCTAACCAGAGGGGGAAAGGGAGCAGCTAGGGCCCCCCCCCCTTCTTGCCAATCCCCAATCCCGGGGATTCTACTGACCACATTGATTTTTTACTTTTACCCTTTTCAATATTTTGTTCTTTCATGCCAATTTTCATCAAATATTGCCCCCACCCCAGAAAATCCTGATTAGGTCATTATAACACATAAAATGATTTCTTGTAGATACCAATTCATAGATGTACCGGTAGATATATGAAGATGTTTATGTTAAACATTTAGTCTGAGAGTCGAGAGAGGTTTAATTAGAATATCGAGCACAAAAGGTTTTATAGTGGCAGTGAGTAGGTGGGGGTATCCAACCTTCGAAACCGTCATTCTTAAGTGTTGCACCCCGTGCATTTGAGAGGGGGCACCACCTGAAGTACCCCAAAATTGACTTTTAATTAGAATATTGCGCACAAGCACACTTCCAATGCGGAAAAATAGTATTTGATTAATTGATTAATGATCAATAACTTAAGAATGACAAATCCTGTGCAATTCCTTGCTTAAGAATGGCCCAATAATCACTTAATTTTGAGCACAAGAGCGAAACTTTCACTAAAGGCTAATTCAAGTTATTATAATGCAAGATTCACAACGTAAGAACACTTTTTATAGTCCTGTGCATTCTGTGCTTAAGAATGAGTTAAAGGTCAATAATTAGCCGCGCGCGCTATGGAGGGGGGGGGGTGCTGCAGCGCCCCCAACTTTTTGGATGGGGGTGCTGGAATATACTTAAGCATCCCCTACTCCTTGGCAAAAAATGTCTTCCAATCAGCAGTGTTTTAGCAAAAATGCTTCAATCGCGACTATACATTCTACCTCACCATTACCTCAATTCGGATCAAGTGAGATTGTATCTTCCAGTAGCTAAGGTATACCACACATTCAAAGAAAAAGAATGCCATTCCTGCCAGTAAGCCCCTATATAAAGGCACCCTCGCTGAATGATCACCAGTGTATTTTCAGTGGCTCTTGCGCGAAAATTGCGGCAAAATCAGCCAGCTTCTGCGAGCCTCCCTAAGTTTGCTAATGATGTAGCTAGCGAGGGCGAAATATATGACAGTGACGACGATCTTGACGCCGTCTTAACTGGTCTCGCACCTGAAAAGGGCGACAGAAAAGCAGTAACAAACGCACCTGAAAAGAGCGAAGACGCATTCACCGAGTGTGATTTAGACAACCTTCTAGCCAGTGGCCAAACTAAGGCCGAAGATGAATTGCTGACCGAAATGGCGGCACTAGTTGAGGGCGATGACAAAGAAAGTCCGGCCCTTAATGAACAGTTGGCAAAAACTATAAATGCTCTTGCTCGGGGCAAAAACTATAAATGCTCTTGCTCGGGGCAAGATACAGAGTGAAAAACTCAATGAAAAAATGAAAAAATACGATAAACCGAATAATTGCACAAACCTCTGCATTACCAGAGTGAACCCCGAGATCTGGGCGATCTTGAAACCTACAACCCGAGCAAAGGATGTAAAATTCCAGAAAATCCAGAACGCCTTTGTAAAAGCGTCAATAGCCATTTCAATGGCAACAGATCAATTGTTGAAAGCCCGTAACAACAATGAGGCGGGTCTTGACACCGCCCAACTCATTAGAATGCTTATAGCTGCGGTTGCTATGAAGTTGCGTAGACGAGACAATATTCGGCCAGATTTAAGTACGAAGAACGCACCGTTGGGCTCTTCGCAGGTTCCCTGCACAAACCACCTGTTCGGGGACGATTTGGTGCAGTCTTGCAAAACGATACAAGAGACCTGCAAAATTGGCTCAAAGATTCATGGTTATGATGGCAACAGTAACCGTCGCACAAACAGTGGTTTGTCCCGATGTTTGGGGTTGCAGACCAATAAATCGGTCCGAAATTACCTACGCCGGCCAAATCACGATTTGCATGCCCTCAAAATCTTCAGTATTTGAGCATGCTGTGGGCCATGAACTTGAGGGTTCATAAAAAATATGGGTGGAAGCCATGCACAGGACTGTGAACTTGTAGTTCCGTTCAATTTGGATGAAATTGGGGCCCTTAAAGCGCTCTATTTTGCATCGTTTTCAAAATGGCTATGGGCTTCAGGACTATTTTCAGGGGTGATCATTTTCGGATGGAAATTTCTCCTAAAAGTCATCAGTTGACCCCCCAAAAATTGAAAAGAAAATGAAAAATGATGAAATAAGCTTTAATTTGATGTGTGTCTCGAACACCTGTGTCGGTCGAGATCATAAGTGGGTGCAGAATTCTCAAGCCTTATGGCCTTACTGAGGTAACCTCAAGCTCCACTCTGAAGGATATTTTTGAAAGTTTTAAGGGGATCGAAGCGTCATCTGCAACATTAGCCAACTTTTGAAGAAGAAAAAAAGTATGGGGAAATAAACACGTCGCCACACCACTTTGGGGGCAAGCTCCATACCAGAAACTGGTGATTTTTTGTTTTGCCTTATTTGCACAAAACAGCATGATGATTTCACTGTGTCATGATTCCTTCACATGGACTAGTGCACAATATTGGTAGTGTTGACAATTTGTTTGATTTGCTTCATATGTTTTTCACTGTTTGGTTGTGATCACGAAGGTGAAGGTCTTTAACTCAGAATTGATCACAGAGTGAAAGTCTCAGCAGGCATGAGAATCTTCCCTTTTAAACAGGAAGTCCTGTTTTGTTTTGTTTTTGTCCAAATTTCCGCATTTTTATTTTGTTTGAGCCTGTTTTGGGGGCTTTTTTGCCAGATTTCACATCTTTTTCCTGTTTTTGCACAAGTTTTTTTGTGTTTTTTTTTCATTGAAATTCATTCTCATGCTTGCTCAGTCTTCGCTTTGGTCTAGGAAGAAAAGGTTTCAGTTTTAGTTTAGAAGTTGAAGATCTTGACTGCATCAGTTTAGTGAATAATGGGTCTGCCATTTACTGATCCAACAAGAATAGATAGGCAAACGTAAAGTGAATGATGTTTGAGCTTGTTTACTCTTTCAACAGGCTTATGATCATTCCAATGCTCCAAGAAATTCCAGGAATGTGTCAACCACTTTGTGATTTGAAAACCTCATTTGAACGCAGGTAATCACTCATCAGAACTGTGGGTTTTATGAGTGCTTTGAGTAGTTTTTTTTAAATATTAATCTCTTTGCCTTTGCTTGTTAATATAGCATTTCATTACCAACTCTTAAAAAGGTGTGAATTTCTCGTATCAACATTGATAAGTTTAGCTTTGTCAATAAAGTTGTACATTTCAAATTTGCATGCTATTATACTAAAACAACTTGCATAAGATATGCCTTGATTTGCGCATATCTGTATTTTCGCACTTCAAAACCTTGTTGAAATGTATCGTAACTGAAATGTGGTGCAATGTCGAATGTTGCACAACTTGCACAATTAATGTGGTGTTATTGGCAGCCATTGCATACCGTTTAGTGAAATTGGTTGAAGGATGCATTAAATATAATTGAAATAAAAATCACAGTTGTAAATAACTATTAATATTTGAACTTCATATTCATGCACATTTATTATTCCACAAAATACTTGTAACATTCACGAAAGAATTAGATTATATTGAAGCATATATATTACGCATTTTGTTTGATTTTAGATATCGACAGATACTGTATGTTGGTGATTTGTATCACATACCTGATACTCTTACCATAAGAGAAACATCAGTGGGTAAGGTGGTGGCCCTAACAACGCAGAGTAGACCAAGTACACCAAACTCAGACATTCATTCACCAGGAGGGATCCAGTCACCAGCTTCATTCTTCATATTCAAGTATGTACCAATATATGTTGCATTTTCAGATACAGTCTCATACAACATTTACTGAAAATGTTCTTTAACAGACTCAACCAAAAAATAAATGTAGATAAAAATTACAGTTGTGACGTGAAAAGACAAAGGTATTGAAGAAATCAGTTATTTGAAAGTCTAGTCCCTGTTTGAGTCAAAATACAACCAAATATGTAAAACACATGTCAGATTTCATTATGCCTCCTAGAAGCTCTTGCTCAGCTGCTTAAAGGGAATATACAACAATTGCAAACATCGAAAAATAAAACTACCCAGTTTTTATGAAATACCCTACTAGGATGTTGGTAAATGATAGTCTTAAGCATCCTGTAAAATTATGGAACCTGGTGTGAAGTCATTTTCAAGAAAATTGTATTTTTGTATACATTTCCATGTTTTTCCAACGGCCGACCACTGTTGGAAAAACCTAACTACTTGTATTTTTCAACTGCTGCTCCAAATTCACCATTTTTTCAGTCCAAATTTTGTTTGCTTTTGGTTACATGTACATGTTCATGAACGGGTGGAGGCCAGCTAGACTGGGTCCCTTACCTTACAATTTTCCGGCATCTATAAATTGATAAATTTTATATTTTGTGGAGTCAGGGAACCAGACTACTTGAACATTTTTGTTTTTCTTGTTTTTTCCAGCATTTTCGAATACAAAATGTCAGTGTAACAATATTTGATCTATTATACTAACCCCTCAAATAGTTCATTTCCGAAAATTACAGCAAAAGCCAATGATGTACATTCCCTTTAAAAACAACCCTTGTTTGAGTCAACATTTTTTTTCAGCTGTTTGAAAAAAAGTAGAAACAGTGTTTGTTTTGTTATGATGTTCTTTTTTAGGTGTTGGGCCTTGAGCCCAATGCCTATTGTTTTTGTAAGATTTTACTGTTTGTATTCTTCTCAGCGTATTCTCAGGAATTCGTTTCCGGAACTGTTTGGAGAAATGGAAACATATATGAAGTTCATTTGTCAATACATGAATGCCCAATCCACCGCAGATGGTCTTTTTTTGTAATTACGTCATCATGACGTCATCATGGGTCACGTGACGTGACTCGAAAGTTTAATAAATTTAATCTTTGAAATTCCATATAAAATCAACCGTGAGAGACCGGAACCTGAAATTTGCGGGAATCGACATGGTAATACATGATCTTCATTTTATCCTGTGCGCGTAAAATCACGTGACCATTCCTTCCGGTCGAAACCGGAAGTGCCTAATAATTTGAAAGTGGAAAAAGATATGAACTTGCTTTTAACGATTTAAGTGTCTGCCTGGATTGACCTTTCAAAAAAAATAATGGGTGACGCCATGAAGTGTTGGAGCGCCCTCTAGCGGCAGGTAAAAAAACGTCAAAAACGCATTTTCACTTGATGTCTGTGGCGAAGTTTGCGGTAATCGCTTCAAAATTAATGTTCATGATGACCATAATGCAGACAATACCTGTGCGCGAAAAAAAATTGATTACGTCATCAGACCGGAAGTTACAATAAAAAGACCTTTAAATCTTAACAAATTGCTAGAAAATATACCGTGATAGATATAATCAAGATTTGGCTGTATACAGCACAGTAAATATAGCTCTGGAGGTTTCTGGTAATGACGTCACAATGACGTCATCAAGTATCATATTACAAGCAATCAAAGATTTCTAGATTTAATCTTTGAAAAGCAATGTAAAATCAACTGCTTCAGATTTGATTTTGTTCTTTATGGCAATCGATACAATATTGCAGGGTCTTCAGTTTTGGTATTATAAGTGCAAAATCACGTGACCCTTCCGGTCGAAACTGGAAGTGCCTTATTATTTGAAATTGGCAGAAGATGCAAACTTGCTTTCAATGATGTGAGTGTCTGCCTAGGCAGTACTGTACAAACATATTACAGGTGACGTCATCAAATGTTAGAGCGCCCTCTAATGGCAGTTTAAAAAACGTCGAAAACGCATTATCACTTGATGTATGTGACGAAATTTGCGGTGATCGCTTCAAACCTAACATACAAGATGAACTTAATGCAGAAAAGACCTGTGCGCGAAAGAAAATGGATGACGTCATCAGACCGGAAGTTATAAAGAAAAGACCTTTAAACCTTAAACAATTGCTAAAAAATCAACTGTGAGAGATATAATCAAGATGTGGCTATATATAGCAGAGTAAATGTAGCTCTGGAGGTTTCTGGCGATGACGTCACAATGACGTCATCAAGTGTCGTATTACAAGCAAATAAATATTTCCATATTTAATCTTTGAAAATCAATATGAAATCAACTGCTACAGATTTGATTTTGTTTTTTATGGCAATCGATAAAATATTGCAGGGTCTTCATTTTTGGTTTTAAGTGCAAAATCACATGACCCTTCCTTACGGTCAAAGCGGAAGTGCCTTATTAATTGAAATTGGCAGAAGATGCGAACTTGCTTTCAACTATTCGAGTGTCTGCCTAGGCAGTAGTGTACAAAAATTTTACAGGTGACGTCATCAAATGTTAGAGCGCCCTCTGGCGGCATGTTGAAAAGTCAAACATGGATTGAAACATGCATACTTTGAGTTGATGTGTGTGGCAAAGTTTGCAGTAATCCATGGCCCAACACCGTGTGGTTGTTGCTACAACCTCTAGTTTCTTTTTGTTTCAGCATATCAGCAGAAACAGAATTTATTTTCTCAAGAATGTGTTGTTGTTTTTTGGGGTGGGGGTGTTTTTTTCCCAGCACATGGGCCCAATGGACCGATCCAGTAAGCACCGCCCCATGGTGTTCAGACCAATCACGGCCGTGATTTAGGTTCGACGTGCATGCACAAAAGTCCGACATGCGTGCACGCGCGTATGATGCGCGCGGCAGGAAAATGCGGTGTGGCATTGGAGAGAAGCACGTGTTAATTTGCCCAGTGCGCAGTGGGCGGGGCTTACTGGATCGGTCCATTGTCTGTTTCATCAACACACATTCATTCTGGTCATGTCTTGGGGTGTCCCATTATATTTCTGTGAAGCCCAGTTCTTCTGATTTGAAAACCATAGGCGTGTGGAAAAAGGCACACCTGGATTTTTTTAGGCGTGTGATTTTTCTAGGCGTGTGATTCTGTGGTCCAAGCCGGGACTGAACAATCTGGTACTTTTTTTATACTATTTATCTTGGTTTACAGTGAACTTAAAAACCAATAACACTAACAACCCCCCCCCCCCCCCCCCCCCCGAAAACACATTATTTAATTAATAGCTTGGTTCAAAAAAAGAAAGTCAGTTAATGCACAGTAAATCTCACAACACTGACAGTTAACATTTGAAATTACATGTACTTTGCTTTGTAACAGAACTTCATAATAATAACATCAGGAGTGCAAAACGATAGAATAGCGCCACTAGTTTATTCATGTTATTCCTTCCTCCATGATCAGAGGCAAGCATTCGTATCGCAGTAAATATGGTAAACATAATCGGCCCATAACAAACAAAACTACTCCACTTTTACTTCGACAACCATGTCCTTCCCGCTGTCGTCATCTCGCTGTACCCTGTACCCTATGTCGCCCATTCCCTCCCACCACTTAAAAATACGAATCAGTCATGATTAAACCAAAATGTGCTTCGCGAGCTAAGTTTTGTGAAGTGAAAATATGTGTCAAGTTTTGTAACGCCCACGGCCGTGTTCTGTGTGAGGCAACCTGATTGGCTGGTGACAATAATTGCACCCAGTTTCAGCCAATGGCGTTTAAGTTATCAAGTCTGTGTTCAGCATGCAATACCGATAACCCTGTGGCTCAATAGTGATAACCCTACAGCCTTGAAACAAGACGTCCGCTTGCTTTTACTGCGGGCAGCCAAGGGCGGATCCAGAACACAATTTTTGGGGGGGCCAAAAAAAATTTTGGTCCCCCCAAAAAGTGGGTCAAAAAAATTATTTTTGGATTCTAGATGCTCTGTGGTGCGATCTGAGGCAATTTCTGACCACTTTAACCAATGTTTTTTTGAGGAAAAGATGGTGGTGTACTCATTGCCTGCCTTTATTGCGATGTCACATAAAAAAACTAAAAAGACATTGGTTTCGTTTTTTTGGGGGGGGGCCATGGCCCCCTTTGGCCCCACCCCCCCCCCCCCCCCCGGATCTGCCCTTGCGGGCAGTCAGCTTGTACACACGTGCGTATTCACCGTACATCGTGTACAGTCCATGTACATTCTAGCACAGTCTGGTAGCGCACGCTTGCCCCATGCAGTTTACAACATAATGTACATTTAGTGCGTAATTCTCTACACGTGCTGAAACAAGGTTACTGTTCATGCTGTCAACAATCAACATGGCGTTCTGCACTGCCCAGCTGTTTCGCGATATATACGATATTGGTAGGCCTAATGCTTGATTTTTTTCTCTTCACCGACGTACTTTTTTTCACAAATTACGAAGTATAATTATGCTGTAAACGTAATGCCGAGGTGTGCGGTACAGAGGGATCCAGGTGTGGGATTATTGACACCTCTCGGGAAGCTTTTAGGCATGCGATGGCGTGGGGGTGCGATCGCACGCCTCAAATCAGAAGGACTGAAGCCCATTATATTGTGATCTCCATTATTTAGGTTTCATCCTCGTCGTCAAGACTCCCCTTGTATTATTGTCCCTAGTAATATGGTTTGCCCCACCTTTTGAAGAAAATGGTTCATTCCTTAATTTGTAAAATGCAAATGAGCACTAGCACGTAGGGTATTAAATTAATGCTGATTGTTTTCTAAAGTATTTAATACTGTATATGGAAAAGCAACGCACAAACAGGAATACTCTCACACAAAGTATACTGCACCAACGTACAATTGTGCCAACCTTTTTTTTATACCCTGCCGGCGAACTGTCCGTCTGTGTGTGTTAATGTATGTACATGTACAGGGTTCCTTATGGGGTAGAAAATGTAATAGAACAATAGTACTGTCCTCTTGGGGCATCCACTAAAAAAAACAACTGCCTGGCTGGAATGCAATGCT